AGGAGTTCAAAACTAGCCTGAGCAAGAGTGCTGTATGTTTTTCCTACAGAAAAATAGAAAATTAGCAGGGCAGGGTGGCTGTCGCCTGTAATCCTAGCATTCTGGGAGGTCAAGGTGGGGGAGGATCGCTTGAGATCAGGAGATTGAGACCCCGTCTCTACTAAACATAGAAAAAATGAGCTGATGGTCATGGCGCATGCCTGTAGTCCCAGCTACTCAGGAGGCTGAGGCAGGAGGATCGCTTCAGCCCAGGAGTTTGAGGCTGTAGTGAGCTATGATGATAGCACTGCACTCTAGCCTGGGCGACAGAGTGAGGCTCTGTCTCAAAAAAACCAACAAAAAAGCCTCCTACAAATAATTAATTAAAAACCCCCAATTTTTAAGATGGGGAAAGGATATAAACAAGGCTGTTCACTGAAGAGGGACAGGGAACAGCCAATATAGATACGAGAAAATGTTCGACCTCAACTTGTTAGTAACCAGGAAGTAACATTCAAAACTAGGAGATCTCTTCTTGCCTGTCAGGTAGGCAGAAAGTTGATTGCTAAACTGGACTGGGCCGGGGCGTGGGGTGGCGGGGACGCTCACGCAGGTTCACGCCTTTGCTGTTGGGAGTGGATGTGGGTTTTCCGAAAGGCAATTGGCCCTTTGTATGAAAATGTTAACTGCAAGTGTCCTTCAAGCCAGCGATTCCACACGTAAGCGGTGATCTTAGGGGCCACACGGCACAAAGGGATGTTGACAGAAATACTCGTGGTAGCTTCCACTCTAAATGAAAAAACACCGGTAAACCACATAAATGCCGAGGGATGGTGATTGAAGCGGGGTGCAGAATTCTATTCCGAGGTGTGGGCACCTCTGTGGAAAGATCTCCAAGTCACACTGTTGGGTGAAAAAGCAGTATAGACTCTGATGTCAGCCCCCACGTGGAAATCAGACCAGAAGGATTTAAGCCCAAAGAGCCACTCTGGTCACCGCAAGGAGGGGATGGGACTGGGGAGAAGGGGACTGACTGGGCCAAGGGGACTGTGAGTTTGTCCACATTGTTGGAGTTTTTTATGGAGAAAATGTATTTGTGTTCTATTTATGCAACTTTGAAAATGCAGGGAAAAAATTGTTTGCTTTCTTCTAAGTGAATAATGGATTAATTTCTAAGAAAGTACAAGCAAATCTAGACAAAACAGGGGCCCGGCCAGACACTAGAATTTAAATAGTTTGGGGGGAAGAACACACAGCCAAATCTTTGAGAGGTCTCCAGGGATAGGCCACGTGCAGTCCAGGTGAGAGTGCTGGCGGCAGAGGCCACAGCAGCAACAGAAGGGGGTGGGGCTGGCTCCCAAACCCCCTTAGGACACACCCCGGGTCTTACAGAAAGCAGAGAATGTCATTCTTTTTTTATTTTTATTTTTTTGAGACAGAGTCTCACTGTGTTGCCTGGGCTAGAGTGCCATGGCGTCAGCCTAGCTCACAGCAACCTCACACTCCTGGGCTCAAGCGATCCTCCTGCCTCAGCCTCCCGAGTAGCTGGGACTACAGGCATGCGCCACCATGCCCGGCTAATTTTTTTTTTCTACATATTTTTAGTTGTCCAATTAATTTCTTTCTAATTTTAGTAGAGACAGGGTCTCGCTCTTGCTCAGGCTGGTTTCGAACTCCTGAGCTCAAACAATCCGCCCGCCTCGGCCTCCCAGAGAGCTAGGATTACAGGCGTGAGCCACCGCGCCCGGCGAGAATGTCATTCTTGATATGCCTTCAGAAATTCACAAATCAAGGAGGCAGTTCTGAGGCTGCCTAGAGGAGAGGAAAGAACACTGGCTTGTGGATCAAAACAGCCCGAGTTCAAAATCCAGCTCACCCTCACTGGTCCTTAGTTTCCTTACCTGTGAAATGGGGATGGTACTATCTGACTGCAGGGTTAGGTTAGGAGTAAGTGAAATTGAGGGTGTGAGACACCTGCCCCTGGTAGACTCTTAGCAACATTAGGCCCTTGGCCTTAGGTAGGTGAGAGAAGATGTGGCCACCTGGACCCCTGTGACACCCACACCCCCGTGTGGAATTTATTTGAGGGCTGCCAGGAACTGCAAAATGCAACATTATCAAAATGATTACTGGCCTTGCGGCTGGGGAGAGACCCGGGTCTGCTCTGTGTGAGAAAAGATGCCTTCCTTGAGCCCTCCTGCTCCTTTGAGAAAGCAAAGTGACTGGGCAGCTTATGTAGACCCCGGGTGGCACTCGTACCAATTCACCCATTAACAGCCTGAGCTGGGACTTATGCCCTCAACCTCAACACTAGCGACGTTTTGGGCTGGATCATTCTTTGTTGTGGGGGAGTGTCCTGTGCATCCCCTAGCTGTGACAACTGGAGATGTCTCCAGACATTGCCAAATGCCCCTGGGGGGGGATGGGGTGAAAATTGCCACTGGCCGAGAACTGGGCTAACCTGACATTCAAATCTCAGGTCTATCCTAGCTGTAAACACACCATTCTGACTCTCTTCCCCCAAAAGCAAAACAAGGATTAGAAGAGTCAATACATGTGAGGAATGGATGAGTCAATACATTTAAAATGTGCTCGGCATATTGTAAGAACTCATCAAGTGACCGTTGTCATTAGGCAGAAGGGTAGGAAAACTACAGCATTTTTCTAATGCTTTTTGTTCCCGGCACTAACTCCCTGTTTGTCATTTATGATTTATGCTTTGTAAGATTTTGCCAGACCTCCCCCAAAAGTCACAAATCTCAGTGAGGGGGAAGACATCAGCCTAAAACTGCAGGTGATTCCAAGCATCCGAAGAGAAAATGGGGCGGCTTGAACCTGTGTTATCGTGTCAATTCTTCATGAGAAAAACAGCCCTAAAACAGGGTCCTGAGCTGTCCCATCTAATGACCCACCTTTCTGCTCAACCAACCGGCAGCCTTTCTGCTGCGCCCTTGCCGAGTCTCAGCTCCACCCCCTGGAGCCACTTCCCCGCCTGACAATAACTGTAGAGGAATTGTGAGCTCTGTAAAGGAGCAAGGGGAAAACCAAAACGTAGTCAGAGAAAGCATTGACAAATATTAACTGCCGCGATAATAGCGGTGACAGTTGTGACAGGGGCTGGTGTGGAGTTTGGGGGGTAGTGATGGTGATGATGGTCATGGTGGGAGGCAGTGATGGTGATGATGGAGGGGGTGGTGGTCATGGTCGGGGGTCGGGGTGGCGCTGTTGCTTGTGGTGTTGATGCTGGCGATGGTGATGTTGGTGGTGTCGGTGCTGATGCCGATGACTGGTGCTACTGATCATGGCAATGCTATTGACCGTGGCAATGCTATTGACCGTGGAGATAGAGGTGGCCGTGGTGATGGTAGAAGTAGTATGCTAACGTAGCAGGGTGGAAAATTGATGTCAAAAGCAAGTGTAGCCTGGCTGCTATGTGGAGCAAGGGGTGAGGTGAAGAACATTGCCTAGCTGCCGATAACTCCCGCTCCGTTCTCTTTGGCGTTCAAGTTAGTCACATGTTTGATTTTATCAATCTACCGGATGGCAGGGATGGTGGCTTATTAACTCTACAACCCCAGCACCTGGCAGCGTGTCTGGCGTAGAGTAGATGCTTCATAAATAAATGTTTGTTCTGTGAATAAATGCTTGAGACCATGCACTTGGTGCCAGGCAGACAGGGCTGCAGGTTTCTGTTCTGCCATTCACTAGCCGTGTGACCTTGCACAAGCAACTTCCATTCTCTGGGCTCCTTGTATTCACCGAACGACTTTCCCGAGCATCTCTGCTGGCCGGACACTGTGCTGAGCACCAAGGTTGCAGCGTTGAAGACAGTGCTGCTGGCCTCAATTCTCATGGAGTCTACATTCCAGGGGAGACAGACCATGAGTCCCCCCCTAAAGGAAGGAGGGAACTTTAGCTCCTGGTGATTGGTATGGAATTCAAGCAGGGTGACTTGATGGAGATGACCTGGTGGCTGTTTTAGAGACTGTGGTCAGGGAAGACCTCTGTGGGTCTGAAACCTGAATGACAAGGAGGTGTCCCTCCCAAGTGAAGTGGAATCTCTGGAGATTCTTCAGAAAGTAGAGCTCAAGCAGATCGGAAGTGAGGATGGGAGTCTCCATCCCGCAGGGCCCCAGGGGCGGTGGGGGGGGGGGGACTTTCTCGCTGCAGTGGGGAGGAAGTAGACCAGGGTTTTAAGCAGCGGGGTTGGCGTATTTTGGAAGTAGAACAGGAACAGCAGGCAGGAGAAGGAGGAGGAGGAGGAAAGGTACCGCTCAGGGACAGTCCTAGAGCTTTGTTTAAGCACATGAGTGGGCGAGGCGAGAGGCACCAGGGCAGAGGCGGGTTTCGAGGGAAGAAGTGGTGAAGATCTATTTTTTGGCCTTGTGGATTTTGAGAAGATAGGCGATATCCCTGGTGTCCTCGTCAGCCAGAGGGGACAATAATAGTTCTTACGTGGCTGTGGGGAGGCCGGAATGAGAGGAAGTGTGGAGAGTGGGCTCACGCTCAGCGCCGCCGCCCTCGCGGGCTCTGCCTCCTCCGCCAGGTGCCCTGTGAGGCCAATCCCATCAGCATGGTGTCCAAGCTCAGCCAGCTGACGAGCCTGCTGTCCTCTATCGAAGACAAGGTACTCGCGGGAATCCCGTGGCTTCTCTTGGCCTCCCTGTGGTCCCCTCTCTGCGGAGAGAATGCCCAGGCTGCAGGCTTGGTGTCCCCTTTGACCCTGTGTCCCCAACACTGATGCTCACAGGTCAAGGCCTTGCTGCACGACGGTCCCGAGTCTTCCCACCGGCGTTCCCTCATCCCTCCTGTCACCTTTGAGGTAAGTGGCTGTGGGGCAGCGGAGCCTGGCCTTGTGCTCCACAGCTGGGGGCTGGGCCTGCTCTGGTCCCTGTGGAAAGAGGGCTTTGGCCTTGGGCTGTGGGGCCACAAGGAGCCCAAGGGCCGAGAATGGCAGGCGGCGGGACCACCTTGCTGTGAAGGCGGTTAAACGTTGGAGCGGGTGGGTGCCCACACACGGCTGTGGAACCCCCTTCAGGGGGACGCCACAAGGGAACAGCTTCGCGTTGGCCCAAGATGCTCTATAAGCTTTGTCCTTCTCAAAATGGGGGTGATGAGTGACATCAAACGGAGGCCCCCAAATCGGCTGCAAAGTAGTACCTCAAGGAGAGAGGGGATCAGAAAAACAAAAATGTGCAATTCCTGTGATTTCCCTGAGAGGGATGGGTTAGAATCTCCAGTTTGGTCCCAGAAATGTGTTTTTCTTAACAATATCCAGAGATTCTCATACATGCAGCCCAGCACTGGCCCCACATCCAGAAACACAGCACAAGATCCACCCCCCAAATACTCACATACACACCCTCCCCACCCCAAAGTCCTTTCTGGCCCTGGCGATAATCTTGTGTTAAGACAGATTTCCATTTTCTGAGCATGCCTAGGCAACTGTCTTTTTTCCTAATTATTATCAGTAAATGTTAAATTAGTGGTTGTAACAAGGCCCAGGAGTTTAAATCTATTACTGAAATCCTTTCTGGAAGCAGATGACACATCAGATTAATGAGCGCTGTCAAAGTAATCAGTGAATGAACCATCTTGCGGCAGTTCATCTGCTTCCTCCACCCAACCTGTTGGGTCGGCGGCACAGCTCACGCGCACAGTGGGCGAGCTGGGCCCCCCGAGGGTTCCAGTGACTCCCGTGCCCGTGGAAGCGTGCACGTGCGATGCTGCGGCAAGGGGGTCCGGAAACAGAAGCCCAATGGCCCTACTTGGGACACCAACCGAGGGTCACCCAGCCACACAGACAAGGGGCTCGGGGGTCAGCATTGCAAAAGGTAGACAGAAATCAATGAGCAACGTCTCTTCCTCTGAAAGGTGAAGTCGGAGTCTCTGGGCATCCCTCAGAAAATGCAGCTCAAAGTCGACGTCGAGTCTGGGAAACTGATCGTTAAGAAGTCCAAGGATGGTTCCGAGGACAAGTTCTACAGCCACAAGAAAAGTAAGGCCCCTTGTGCCCACAGCACTCTCCTGCTAGTGCCCTACGGGTGACAGGTCAGGAGCAGACTCCGCCAGGCCCACCCCACCCCTCTGCGGAGGGCGGGCCCTCTCCTGGGGCACCCACTGCCCTTCCCCTGCCTGTGGAACTCCTGCACTTCTCAGCTCCTCAAGGGAGGCCTCCCCTGCACCTCCGCCTCCTGCCTCCGACCCCCCAGGAATGAGCTCACAGCCGTCGCACACACTCGGCACGTCCTGCCCTGGTGGTGGTTCCGTGTGCACACGTGTGTGTGTGTGTGTGTGTGCGTGCGTGCGTGCGTGCGTGCGTGCGTGCGTGCGTGCCTGCCTGTCTGTCTGTCTGTCTGTCTTCTCTTCCCCACCAGCAGCCAGTCCGACCGTCCTGTCCCTTCTCAGTGCCTGGCACAAGGCCCTGCACAGATGAGGCGTTGCTGAGAATTGGTCGCTGCTTTAGCACGGCATAGACCGAGAGGGGGTTTAGCACGATGCTGGAGTACGTGGACTCCAGGGCCAGACTGTCTAAATTCACATCCCAGCTCCGCCACTCAGCAGCCGTGTGACCTTGGACATGTCATGTACCCTCTCTGGGCCTCAGTTTGCTCACCTATAAAACAGGAGTGATGAAGACGAAGTGAATAGTACGTGTAAGGCTCCCTAGGATAGAGCCCGCCGCGTGGCAGCCACTCCGAGGGCCAGCTAGGCCAGCTGTCACTATTAGCAGGCTCTGAGCAACTGAGGCTTTGCGTATGGTTCAGCCACCGAGAAATGCCACGAGGAAAATGAGACAGGGTAACGGGGTAGAGGTTAACTGGGACGAAGGGCAGTTTTGAGGGGGCAGACAGGGAAGGCCCTCTGAGGAGGGGGCGTGAGGCATGGGCTGGGACCTCAAGGTTGAGACGCGACCGGTCGGGCAGGGTCTGAGGGCACAGCGCCAGCCAGGGAGCAGCACGTGCCAACCCCGGGTGAGGGGCACAGGCAGGGCACACCTGGGAGGAGCAGACAGGGGCCTGGGGAGGAGCAAGCGGCGCCCCAGAGGGAGCGAATATGGGAAGATTTAGCCTCAATGCTGGCGACAAGTTTAGATTTTATCTCCAGCACAATGGGAAGACTTCAGAAAACCTGAAGCAAGAACTTCAAGTCTGGGTCTGGGAGGGTCAGCGGGTGCCCCAGCCGCAGCCCACATAGGGAGGCCATCTGGGGTACAGGAGGCAGGGGATGCCCGTGTGCCTGGCAGGGGCTGATCAGCCCCAGGGGGAGCAGAGGGTTGAGGAGAGCACGAGTGCCCCGAGCAGTCCCCAGCGCGGGCTGGTGGCCGATGGGCGCTGACCCTTGAGGCTCTGGCTCTTTATTTAGTGACCAATAGGTTCCGCTGAGAAACCCGGTAACTGCTGTAGATGCTCCTCAAACAAATCCCCACCTCTGCTAACAGTCCGGGTCCCCTGGCAGGCGCTCAGACCCCCTTGAAGCCAGGGTCCCTCTGCTCTGCAGCGGCATTTTTCATTCTTCAGTGTCTCACGGTCTGTTCAGTGCGGCGTGATTGGGGTTGCCACATTTAGCAAATAAAAATATAGGAGGCCCAGTTAAATTTGAATTTCAGACAAATAGCGAGTAATTTTTGAGTGTAAGCATGTTCCACGCACTGTAAGGATGCTCGGTCCCCATGTGAGAGGGTCTGGCGACCTGCTTCAGGTCAGAGCAGTGCCTGCACCTGCTGCTTCTCACGTGCCTTTGGCTTAAAACATTCAACATGCTAAGGTGCCATATCTCGGGGGTGGTGTATCCTGAATCCCATCGATAGCCTGGCGGGGTGTTAGAAGCCCAGCCTTGAGTCCCAGCTCAGCCACTTGTGACCTTGGTCTGGTGTCTTCTCCCAGGTCCTCAGTTTACCCTTCTGTCAAATGGGGAGAGTAGTAGCACCCTGCAGGGCTGCCATGAGTCTTAATGGGTCAACATCAAAGCACGCAGTGCCGGGCATCCAGGAGATGCTCGACACAATTGGCTGCGGCCACCACCGTCACCATTATAATTGTCCTTCTGACGCGGCTGTGAGGAAGGCAAATCTCAGGAAATAGAGTCCCTGGTCACTGGGGTGACAAGCTGTCATATCCCTGCAGAGTTGAGCTCATAGCACTGGGCAGGGCCACTCTGGTGCCAGGTTGGGCAGGAGAAATGGGCAGTTGCCGATGGTTTGGGCAGGAGGGCTGTGTTGGAAGTGATCGGCTTAGAATGGCGCTTTCCTCTTTCTTATCTGTCACGGAGAAAGGCGGACCCAGCTTTGATAAGAGGAACTGGAAACCTACATGAGTGAAGAGATTGTCAGAGTGCCTGACTCTTCTGAAAAACTTGACTTTGAAAGGCACTCCTAGGCTTCTGGGAAGCATCGTAAACTCTTGTCAATTCAACTCAATAGACTTTTTAAAAAAATATCTTCCATGTGCCAGCCCTTACTTGTGAACTTTCTCCCAAAGAGTTTGCAGTTTAGAAGGGAATACATGTGAGCATGTATTAGAACATGAGCCAGAGCAAGGTGAGTCCTGAGGGAGGATTGATTAGCTCTATTGTGGGGTGGAGCAGGGAGGCTTCACATCACAGAGGTGGCTCTCCCCAGGGCTTTGAAGGGTGAATAGGAGTTCACCAAGCATGAGACAGGGAAGGGTGCCGGGACTGAAAGAATGACATGTGCAGGGAAGAGTGCAGGGTGCTAGTGAAATCACATGTCACACGTGGCTCATTGTGGCCCTGGAGGGAGAAGCAGGAGGGCACGCTGTCCCAGGTGTGTACAGGGCCTGGAGTGCCAAAGTAAGGGCTGGAGCTGTTGCCACCAAGAAGTGGACATTCCCCTCTGTGGAAGCAGATAGGGAGGGGTGAGAGAGGCGAGCTAGAGATGGGTGGCCTTGAGAAAACTCAGCTCAAGGTAAGAATGGGCTATTTCATCGGTGCAGTGGTGTGCACCGGCATTCCCAGCTACTCGGGAGGCAGGGGCAGGAGGATCTTGAGCCCAAGAGTTCTAGACCAGACTGGGCAACATAGTGAGACCCCAACTCCTAAAAAAGAAAAAAGAACGGGCTTTTTCAGAGCAGGTTTGTGAGCCCTTAAGAGGACAGCTTGGATGGCCAGAGCCTGCCAGCCTCTGAGGGCCATACCCACCCGGCTCCTGTCCCCCCACCCCGGCTGGTGGAGCTCCGCTTGCTCTGTCATGTCAGGACACAATTACCTGTTCGCAAGCTCCCCCCCCAAAGAGGGCAGGGTCTTTTCCTCATGCACCCTGGGCTCTGCAGGCCCTAGTACTGGCCTTGATTCTCAGCAAGTGCATACTCAGCATATACTCAGCGCCTGAGGCGCTTGCAACATTGCTCATAAATCCCACCTCCTCCCCTTAATGTGGCTCTGCAGAGGCTGGGATGTGGATCTGTTTCGTTCCCCGCTAAATCCCCAGAGCCTAGAACGGTGCTCCGCACAGAGTAAGTGATCCACAAACGCACGCTGAGTGAACACGTGACTGCGTGAGCTCAGTGAAGGAATGAATGCGTGCATGAATGAGTGAATGCGTTCTAAAGCAGGCGAAGTCATGTTCCCATGCCGTGTGCTCAAGTGGCTTCTTTGTAACTGGCACTGAGGGCAGCGTGGCTCCGGCTAAGGGCTCTGGGTAAACCGGATCAGGTCCTGGCTCTGCGACGTTACGATGACATGAGCTTGAGAGACTTACTGGACTCCTCAAAGCCTCGGTGTCGCCTCCACAGACGGGTTCCTCCCAGGGTTGCTGTGAAGGTAAGCAGGGCAAGGCATGTCCTTAGCGCAGAGCCTGGCCTGCGGTCAGTTCCCAGTCATGGTTACGCTGATAAAGTGGAGCCCACCCAGAGGACATCGGTGGTCGCAGGCATTGCAGCTTCCTTGCCCTGTTCCGGTCACTGCGTTCATTGATAGCTTTGGCATCGTGGTCTTCTGTGCATAGGAACAGTCAGCTGTTGCATGACGAAATCATAAAGCACCTACTGTGCGCCAGGTGTTGAGGAGGGGAGGAGAACAAGTCATCCATTTACTTGAATGCAACCCCCCGAGAGCATTCACCCAAGAGGGTAAAGGTGAAAACAAATACACAAATACATAAACCAGGAACGCATCAGGGAGTGATAAACGCTAGGCGGGGAATTTAAATAGGAAAATACGACAACAATGGGGAAAGCCTCCCAGGGACGTGCATTTGAACGGATGCCTGAGCGTGGAGAAGACGTTGGCCATGCAAGATCCAGAGACAGGCTCTTGGGCAGATTTCTAAGGAGGGGCCGGCTTTGCACGAGAGAAGGCCGGGATGCTGGAGCTCAGAGGATGCAGAACCTGGCCAGGGCTCACGTGTCCTTCTAGGCGCAGTGACCCTGTGGGAAGGTTTTAAGCAGGGGAGTGGCACAGTCCCACTTTAAAGAGATAACTCTGGCTGCCACATGAGAATGAAGAGTGAAACAAGTGATGTGATTTCCCGTTGGGGAGACTTCTGGCTCGGTGGCGGTTGCAGACGTGTACTGTCAGCGTTCGCTTCCGAAGGGCACGACTCACAGGGACAGAGAGTGAGAGCAACAGCTTCCAAAAGGTAGAAAGCAGCTGGATAATGGTAGCCAACTTATAGGAACCCAAAACTAACCACCCCGCTGTGGGGACACGCACACCAAGGATCACCTGACACTGCGGGGAGCCTGGGACGGGAGACATGGGGACAAAAAGACAAAACACCGGAGGAAACAAATTCTGTAGATAAAAAGAAATGGGACCGTGAAACAACAGCCAGGTAAATGGATTCCTGGGTGACGAAGGAAGGCCCCACGGTAAAGGCTCCGCATCGGGCCTGGAGGTCACCAGTCCAGAGACAGGGACCCAGCGGCTCTGGGAACGGCCCCAGCAGGATGGTGAAACTGATAAAAGGGTTTGGTTATAGGAGAAAGAGTTACAAACTGGGGAAGAGTTAGAAACAGTGAATAAAACATGGCAATTATTAACTCCAGGAAAAACAAAAGGTTGTATAGGAAAAGAAAAGCTACCAGAGCTGGTCTGTCAATAGCGTTTCCATAATCATAATAACATCAACACTGAGTGCTTTTCTGGCCAAAATTATGATATAATTATTGAAAGAACGATGCAGGGACTGGAACTGTGTGTTAGCAGGGAGTGAAGGGGTGGCAGGTTGTGTGTGTGAGTCTTCATCTTCCATATGTGATAGGAAATATCTAGAACTGAAGCACCAGAAAGTAGCAGCCTAAGCACGATTTTTAGAAACATGGAGTAAAATTCCAAAGGATCCACTAAGAAACGTGAAACTGGTTGCCTCTAAGGAGCGGGACACTGGAGGGACTTGGGGTTGGGGAGGGGTGCTATCGTTTGCAAAAACATAGAACAGCTTGACTCACAATAATTGATGAAAATGAAAAGTAAAAATTTGACGTTTAGAAATAAATTTAAAAACAAAACAAAAGGAGGAAGGGAGGAAAAGTAAGGAAAGAAAGGAGGAAGGAGGAGGAGAGAGGGGAGGGAGGAAGAAAGCTGACCCTGCTTGGGACAGGCCACCTCTTGCTTGTGCCGGCACCACCTTTCCCAAGCCTCAGCCCTTCCCGGAAACAGCAGCCAGGGGCAGAGGGATCTGGGAGAGCAGACACAGATTCGGGGCTCAGCCAGGAAGGTCGGGGGAGCTGATGTCAGGTGCCTGGAACCTGGTGGAGACTCTGTACCTACTGGCTGGATGAGTGGATGAATCGATAAACTAATTTCTGTTTCTCTTCAGTCCTGCAGCTCATCAAGTCACAGAAGTTTCTAAACAAGCTGGTAATTTTGGTGGAAACAGAGAAGGAGAAGATCCTGAGGAAGGAATATGTTTTTGCTGACTCTAAAGTAAGTGACAAGAAACTTCTCAGATGGGCCAACTTCTGAGATGGGACCGGGGGACACACATGCTTTGAGGCTCGCTATGTGCCAGAGAGTGCGCGTGATCAGCTCACTCGGTTCCCAGAGTGACACCTTTCACACTGGGAAAGCTGAGCTCAGAGAGGTTAGGGCCATGCTCCAGCCAGCATTGGAGCAGTTGCAGCTCCGGCTGTCTCAGAGCGTGGTGGCGTCCCACTGTGCCACAGGGGGGCTCATCCTTTCTCATCTGCCTGTCACCCAGCCCCCGGCCTGGTTGGGAGGCTTTTAGCTTCTCTAGGCTGGACTTGGGAGCCCTTTGGGGGACCCCTCCCTGGCTTTAAATCTGTGTCGCAACAAGGCTTCCATTTCTAGACTTTGCCCCATCCTGCAGAAGTGAGACCCCCTGCCAGGACCGGCCCCTGGGGTAAGAGGTGCTGAGAGCCAGTGGGAAAACCTGGGTTGGGCCTACGTACAGCCAGAGCCAGGTTCTCGGAGACCTGACCCCTCACCTCAGAAATTTGAACCAGGATCCAAAACCTATCATTGCAGCCTCACCGTCTGTGCTCTACCGTAGAGCTCGCGTGAGGCAGTGAGAAGGGATCGCAGAGAAGTTAGGGTGCCCATCACTCCAGGAGCTGGCTGACACCTCATGTGGGACACCTCGGACAAGACCAAGGGACAAGGGCTGCTGGTGCAGGCTCACAGTGGCAGGCCCCACCAAGTGCCCAGACCCCTCTCCTACTCGCACCTGCAAAGTGACAGGGGTGGGCTGGTGGGAGATCTGGGGGTGCCTAGGGCTGCAGGAATGACAGGCAAGGGCTGGGAGGAGAAAGGGAGTGGGGGCCGAACAGGCGGTGGGAGGCTGAGAGAAAGACCACCTGGCTGGGCAGCGTTCTCGGCACGTGGGCATAGGTCCAAAACCCAGTTCTGCCCATTGTCGCAAGCTCAGAAGGATGGAGACGCAGGGACAAACTGAGGCATGGAATCGGGCACCATCCCCAACGACAGGCAGGTTTCAACAAAGACAGTTGTTACACTTCCGTGAGCTGGTTTCTTCAGAGGGGCTTCTGAGATTTGTGGTTATTAGGTTGGATCTTGTGAAATTACTGTCCTTGCAGGTATGAAACAGTCAAAGATTGGTCATGTCTTACAGTCCAACCTGCGATTTTGTGTACCCCGTTTAAAGTCAGCCTGCATACACACTGAGACTAAGAGGGCAGAGTCTGCTTTGGGCCCCACTGTGTACCCGAGAAAAATAAGTGAAAAATATGCAGGAGGCTGTGGCAGCCTTCATGTGCTCTTTTCCTTTTAGTTTCTCTAATTTAAGTTTTCTTTCATTACCCAAGTGATCTATTCTCAGAGTAAATACAAAGAAGCAAACGTTTAAAATAAAGACACCCATATACCTCTAGTTAACCTTGGACTATACCCTTCCAAGTGTTTTTTAAAAATAAAAATACAGTGATGCCATTCATACCATTTTGACAACTAGCTTTTCATAGTTAATGATATATTGCTGCCATCTTTCTTGTTAAAGTATTTCTGGGCCATGATTTTTTTTTTTTTTTTTTTTAGGAAGAAATTAAACTTTTTATTCATAGGTGTCATGATTGTCTCCATATATAATCCAAAAGAATCTACAGAAACTCCTAGTGTCTGGGCCATAATGGTATTCTAGCTTATGGATGGTCCTAATACAATTATTAATGAATCCCTAAGATGGGACATTAAGATTGTTCCTGATTTTTTCCTGTATTGAAACATGTGCTGCAGGGCCATGTTTGGATCTCTGTGCGGTTCCTGATTGTTTTTTTTTTTTTTTGAGACAGAGTCTCACTGTGTTGCCCGGGCTAGAGTGCCGTGGCGTCAGGCTAGCTCACAGCA